TGTGTACCTCCCCTGATTTGGAATACTGGAATTGGATACTTGGAATTTTATGATACTTGGATATGTCGAAACCCGGGCACCCTTGACGGGGTGTTTCGTAGACCCTTAGCGGGGTTAGTCTGAGAGCGTAGGACTTGTCACAAGTGTAAGAGTATTAAGGATTTTGCTGTACGTGTTGGTAAGCCCAGTCCCTCAGTTGGACGGCTCATTCCCTAGCCACATGGTCAATTGAGGATTCTTCCATGTGGTTTAGTCAAACAATCCCCCGGTTGGATTGTTTTCCCGGTACAAGATTGGTAGTGATCATACTTATATAAATAGATAGATATAGACATTCCTTCTAATTCTTGGTGGATTGATACTGCTTCATCAATCCACATTGCCAAATCTTTGCAGGACTTTATAAGCCAGAGCAAACCAAGTAGAGATCAAGACCATGTCTTCAAAGTAAATGACAAGAAGGTGGTAGTTCTTGCTGTAGGATCAGTCCAACTTCAACTAGTTTCAGGATTTTCTTTAGTTTTAAAGATGCTGCTTACGTACCTTCCATGAGAAGGAATTTGATTTCAGTTTCTGTATTAGCTAGGGAGAAATTTATTTTTGTTTTTTCTGAGGTAGGATTCAATTTGAATTTTAATAAAAGTGAAGTTCGCAGTGGTGTTTTAGTTGATGGCCTCTCTAAGTTAAACTGTTCCAGTTCAAATAATATTTTTTCCATTGATTCCATAGGTCAAAAATAATTTCAAAACAATGAAAATTCAGCAAGGCTATGGCATAAAAGGCTAGGCCATGTGTCTACGAAAAGAATGCAATACCTTGTGAAAGAACAAATTCTTCCTCCCCTAGATTTTTCAGATTTTGAAGAGTGCATTGAATGCATCAAAGGAAAAATGACTAAATCAAGAAAATTAGGTTCCACTCGAAGCCAAAATCTTCTTTAAATTATTCACACAGATATCTGTGCCCCATTCCCAGTTCCAACCATAGAAGGCCATAGGTATTTCATCACCTTCATTGATTATTTCTCTAGGTTTTGCTACATCTATCTAATCCATAACAAGTCTAGTGCTTTTGAGGTTTTCAAAATCTTTAAAACTGAAGTAGAAAATCAATTAGAATTAAATATTAAGTTTTAAGGTCAGATAGGGGTGGAGAGTATTATAGCAAGTACGATGAGCAAGGAAGACATCCTTCATCATTGGCATGATTTCTGCAAGATTGTGGAATTATTGCTCAATACACAAACCCTGGAACACCTCAAGAGAATGGAGTTTCAGAGATAAGAAATAGAATTTTAAAGGACACGGTGAGCATTCAGTATGTAAATTGAAGAAATCAATTTATGGTTTGAAGCAAGCCTCTAGACAATGGTCTCTCAAGTTTGACAAGATCATTACTTCAAATGGTTTTTTCGAAAATAGATTAGATGAGTGCATATACTTAAAATTCAGTGGGAGTAAATTCATTTTTTTACTTCTTTATGTAGATGACATTTTGCTTGCTAGTAGTGATGAAAGTCTTTTACATGAGACAAAGAGTTTTCTTTCCATGAGTTTTGAGATGAAGGACCTTGGAGAAGCATCGTATGTATTGGGAATCGAAATCCACAGAGATAGAGAAAAGGGGCTACTAGGTTTGTCTCAAAAGGCATACATTGAGAAGGTGTTGAAGAAATTTAACATGCTTCAAAGTAATGGAGCTAAGGTCCCTGTGTCAAGGGGAGACAAACTAAGCAAAGAAGATTGTCCAAGGAGTCTAACATCAAAATTAAGACAATCTGGTGCGCCTCTACTAACGATCACGCAAGATCGAAGAAAGTTTGTCATAGACATCCCAACTAAGATTGCAAACTCAAAATAATCAAAAAGAGAGAAAGCTTGAAAAAACCAAGTCATAACAATACAAATAAAACGCTCACAAAAGATAGATGAAAAGCTCTCACAAAGGAGAAGTGAAAAGCTCTCACAAAAAAAGGTGAAAACTACCCAGAGAACTCAAAGAGTCTTTGTGACTTATTCCGAACATAAAGAAACCACAAAAGAGGATGGTGGTGTAGATCCGACACTGAAACGCAGGTGGAGATCCGACGCTGAAATACAGCCACCGGTGATGATTAGAGGAAAATCATAACAAAATGAAGAAAAATAGGGAAAACCTTTTGTCTCTGAAAATGAGGGGAGAAGAGAGGGAGGAAGAGAAGATGGGAGAGGGAGGAAGAATAGTGGCTTCCTCCCCCCTCAAAGTAAAAACGGCTTTAGGAGAATTTTTTGGGAAATAAGGGGCTAGGGTTTGGGAAAACTGATTAGCACTAATCTATTGTATATACCTTCCTTGATGACTGTTAATTTGATCATGTCACATATATACCTTCCTTCCGTCATTAAGTTTTTTTTAAAAAAAAGAGTCATTGACGTCTACGGAATAGACAATATTCATCCACCAGCTTGCAAATATATATGAATATCACCATCAAAGTCCTTATGATGGGTAACCACTCAGTTTGATAAGTCGTGAGAATATTAATTGCTTGCCATCACTACTACAAAAAGTGAAAAAGACAACTAGAAAAAAACGAAGGTTCAACAGAAAACCGTCGTTGTATTTGAAAAGACGACGGTTTTGTAAAATCACCGTGTATGATTAACTTAAACAACTAAAAAATGAAGATTCCAAAGAGTGTTCCAAAAAATGACACACCTAATTTAAAAACCGACATCTTATTGAAAAAGGTTTTCCTCAGAGTAAACTCAAAGCCAAAAAACAACGGCAGAATGTATGAATCCATCGACGTAGAAAGTAAAGACGACAGTGTAAATAAATAGCCACTGTTTTTACTCCGTAATCAACACGACCAAGTTTTCGTATCCGGCGTCGTATAATTTAAAAGAATCCACGGCGGTAAATTACAAAAACCACCGTATAAAATAAATTTACAACGACGGTAAAAATAAATTTATCGACTTATTTCTTGTAGCATACTACGACGGTATCTTTAACTCTAACCACGTTGGTTTGTTCAATTAACGCCGTATAATAAAATTTACCACGTCGTGAAGTTAAATTTACCGTCGTATTTATTCACTTTATACGTCAACCCTGACATATAAACCGTCGTCTTAATAATATTATTTTTTACTATTTTTTTGATATCCTACGATGGTAAACCAACTTAATGACAAGAATTGAGAATAACCACGATGTTTTATATAGAAAACCGCCGACATAATCAGATTTTTCTGAGATCCCAAGAGATACGTCGTGAAGTTAAAATTACCGTCGTATTTATTGACTTTATACGTCTCACGTTATATCTAAACTGTCGTCTTAATAGTATTTTTTTTTTCAATTTATTTATATTATTTTGGTTTCCTACGTCGGTAGATCATATTAATGACAAGAATTGAGAATAACCACGACGGTTTATATGAAAACCACCGACAGAATCAGATTTTTCTGAGATCCCAAGAGTTACGAAATCTTACCAGATGGAACTCTGTTCCTCATCATAATCGAACCACAAAAAGACAATATTTTAGAAGTTGAGGATGCGTGTGTGTTTGTGTCTTTCAAATACACAAACGCATAGACACATCAACATCCAAAAATTTACCTCTAAGATTTGACGAAGGCAGCCATAGATTTGCATTCAGATAGGCAATTTTTTGGAAGTTGATGATGTGTGTGTGTTTGTGTCCTCCAGATACACAAACACACACACACATCAACATCCAAATAATTGCCTCTAAAATTTGACGACAGCAGAAACAGATTTGCATTCAGAGAGGAAATTTTTGGAAGTTGATGATGTGTGTGTGTTTGTGTCCTCCAGATACACAAACGAACACACACATTAACATCAAAACAATCGCCTCCTAAGAGGTGAGACAGAAGAAGTTGGAACCCTAATTGAAAACTGAAAATGAAAGAACTCGTGATCTACGTTATAAAAAAAATTTCATATACACATCGGTTATATTACACCTAATGACGTTTAACAGAGTAATCTACGTCAATTCTTGAAACATGAAAGACGTATTAAATACCAACCAATGTCGGTTATTAAACTAAAGGCAACGAGGTTTAAAAAAGCGACGTGGTAACTTATTATAATACTTCTTTAAAAGTAAACTTTTGACGTGTAGCGCCCAACTAACCACGTCGTTTTCGGAATACAATAAGTCAAAAGGCTTTTTTACTAACCACGTGGGTTGATGTTATTTTAATGTCGTGGTAAGTACATACTAGGGCAGTTTTTATGATTACCGTCGTTGTAGTTATCTTTGGGACACTATATAAACTTTTTGGTCACCTGACCTAAACTTTTACGTTCTCTCTAAAATTTTCAGTTTTCTATCAGTTTCCATCTCATTTCCGAAAAGCTGCGTTTCTGATTCGCAGTTTCCCTCTCTTTTACGTTCTTCCTCGTCTCTTGTCTCCAAAATTTTATGCCGAAGAAAAACTTTCTTTGCAAGCCAAAGGTATTTTCTCACTCTGTTTTTTTTTTACTTTCCCTACTTTATTTTTTTTTTTTTTTTGCACTGATCTTTGAAACAAGACTAGGGTATAAAAAGTCCAAATCTTTCACTGTTCCCGCTCACAGGACATGTAAGGACAACGGGTTTTTATCGAATTTGACGTTTTTGTTGATACACCACGACGGTAATTAAATTCGTGCAATTTCAATAGCACGGCTGTTGATAATAACTGACATGGTGTGTTAATAAATACGTCGTTTGAAAGAGAAAACCGTCGTCTGATTTGAAACGAACGTGGGAGAGAGAAAACTGGGCAGTTTTTTTTATTTATGAACTTATAATACGACGACGATTGTATTTAATTACCGTTGTCTTAAGTTAATGACCATGTCGTATTAGCACATCCACGTTTCTATAGATTAGCACGACGGTTCTACTTGTTTGCTGTCGTCTGAACTTTCATTTTATGTCTGTATTTTACCTAACCGTCTTTGTTTTTCTTGCAGTTTGTACTTCTCTCTAAACATGGTTTCGAAATCTCAAAGTAAGGAGGCTCAAGCTGCAAAAGGTCAAGGCAAGGACATTGCAGTTTCAAAGGCACAAACAACTGAATCCAAATCTGTTCCAAGCAAAACCGCAAAGAAGATGAGATTTACTTCATCCTCCAAGAAAGACCCAAGCTCTGCGACATTTGATGAAGTGACGAATTCTACTCGTGGTATCAACACAATGAGCCGTGTTGTGAAGAGGAAAATCCATAAGATTAAGCCTGTGGTTGAGTACAATAAAAGTGGCAGACCACATGGCAAAGTTGCTATTGAGATGCAGAGTTACATTGGTGTTTTGGCATGCACCAGAGTCCCTCTTGTGGACAAGAAATGGACTTAATTGCCAAGGACCTGAAGGAGCATATTTGGGAAGCTGTTCAAATGGCTTATGTTGTTAGGGAAGGGGGCAAGAAGATGGTGTTGTCGTCTGCCGCCAAAAAATGGAAGGATTTTAAGTCTACCTTAACTAGGCAGTTTATCCTTCCATTTGCAAATGAGAAGGAGAAGTTAAAAAAGCCCCCTCAGCTGTATAACTTCATAGAGAAATCGCAATGGGATTCCTTTGTAGCTTCAAGGTTATCCCCAGATTTTTGAGGCCGTGCATTCTGAGCAGTCACAGAGAAGGGAGAAATGCGAGTGCAACCATAGGTTGTCTCGAAAAGGGTACGTTGGTTTGGAGTATGAATTGGAAGAAACCATGCCCGGTGAAGAAATCGATTGATCTCTGCTATGGAAGAAGGCAAGAGAAGATAAACAAGGAAACATCCCTGATCCAAAGGTTGCAGAGAAGGCAAAATTAATCGTAAGTCTCATTGACTCTGTTCTAAACTTGTAAAACAGAGGTTTTAGTTTTCATTCAGACATCGATCTTTTTAGTAACCGTCATTAGACCAGAAACCCCACAACGGTTTTTATTTACCGCCTTTTAAAAAATATATAACGTCAGTATTTTTATAAAACAAACGTCTGTATAGAATTACAACGACGGTTTTGTGTTTATGTGTTAGGTTTTTAAAATTAAATTTTGAACTTTCTTCATATTCACACGCACACACACTCTCCCTCCCTCTCTATTTCTCTGCAATTGGTTTGTACACAATATCTGGATAAATGAATATTTTGGTTAAGTTTTTTTTTATCTCTGATGTCAAATAAACGACGGTTTTTTAATGGACTGACGTGTTAACGTATACAACATGATCGTAGTTTTGGGCCGACGTATTAAATTATTTTCTACAACTGTTTTTTAAATAAACCGTCGTCTTAATCACTTTACCACGTCGGTTAATATTTTTATTAATTTATTTATTTAATCAGTTTTACTATCTGTTCACTCACTAACATCCTCTCTCTCACTCTGAGGATGATTTGAAAAAACAAGTCTCTGAGGGCACTCTGACTATCTCTGGCAGCAACGATGTTTTGACCTTGGCTTTGGGAACCCCTGAGCATGGTGGGAGAGTCCCCAACTCAATTCTTCAATTTGCCGAGATAGCAGAGAGTAAAATTTGCTGACAAATTGAAGGAAAGTATTATGGAAGCAGTGAGAGAGGAAACCAAAAGATGGAGGCCAGGGCAAAGGAAGGTGTTATGGAGGCAGTCAAGGCAGAGAGGGAAATTTTTTTGAAACAATTTAGTCAACTAATTCCCAACTTTCTCGGTAAAACTCCAACTACACCAATTACTCCAATTCCTCAAATTCCTCAAGAGCAAAGCCCAAAAAATCCAATGTCTAACAAAGCAAGCTGCTCTAATCTGAGAGCCCTTGAATTGGATGAAGACAATCCCACGAATGATGCTGATGCTAATGCTGATGCTCCTGAAAACCGTCAAGATGAAACGGTACAATCTCTAACATTTGATTTTTTCTGATTTTAAATTTGAAATAGACGTCTGTTTTTATTTTACAACCCATCTTCTATTTTAACCTAGACAACCTTCCTATTGTGTAACGACGTTATAACATTTACACAACGACCGTGATGTATTTACCGTCATATATAACTTTTACCCCATCAGTATGTTTTAGAAACCGTCGTTGATATTATATACCACGTCGGTTTTTTTATTTGTTGGAGTCGTTTATTTTACTTCATGTACAAACTTTATTTATTTCTTGTTACAGGATCTGTCAAAGCTTGACATGCCAGCTCCTCTGTTAGCCCTATGCCAATATGTCGAGACCAAGTTGAAGCCTGCTAACGAGACCATTAGAATTCACATGCCAGAGGAAGTGTTTGGCACTGATCATGATACCTAGCTCTTGAGTGAAGACATTTTACAGTTCGCTTCCATGGTTGAGATTGGATCCACAGTGATTGCATTATACAGGAGGTAATTCTAGAAATCCAATTTTGTTTTTGTTTACATTTCCTTTCTTTTAAATTAAAATCGCATTTAATTGAATTTCATATATTTAATTAGGTACTTATTTGACTATTTAAAAATGGCAAATATGGTAAACCTTGTTGGCCTCGTGGACCCTAGACAAGTCAGCTCTCAATCTGGAACGTTATCTAAACCGTTCAAAACATCTCTCAGAATGCCTGAAAAACGCAGATGGGGATCAATTTTACTTGGTGCCTTATAATCCACGGTTAGTCCCTTTCTATTAGGGGTGGGCACGGTACGGTATGGTACGGTATTGAACCCGTACCGCTACCAATACCGGAAATTTAAATCGGTATGGTACGGTATGGGATTATGGTTTGCCAAAATTGGTACCGTACCGTACCGTGCCAAATCGGTATCGGTACGGTATCGGTACCATTTCGGTACCAAAATGATACAACTAAAAATGAACCAATTCAATATTCAACACCAAAATAAATTATGCCTAAGTTACAAATTCAAAGATTCAACATATTCAATTTCAATATCCAAATCCTAATCAACATATTCAATATTCAAATCCCAATCAACATATTAAATATCCATCAACATATTCAATATCCAAATCAACCAAATCAATATTTATCCATCAAGAGATTCATCAAATTCAAATGGTTAAAACTCATGCCTTATGGCTTACAAACCAAAATAGTTAAAATTATGCATTATGGCTTACAAAAATACAAACACAATCCAAACATAAATAACAAAAACATAAAGTTATGCAATCCAAGCTTCATTTGCAGCCCCTAGCTTTGAATTCAAGTATCCCCATCATTTGCATATTCTGCAAATTACCCAAACAACCATTAGAAAGAATTCAATGCAAACTAATATAAATAACAAACAATATTTAAAATAATTTACCTGATTCAATGGTTTCATAAAATTCAAATTCTTCAATCGAAGGTGTATCTTCTAAGTTTGAAATTTCATCCCCTTTCAACCAATTTTGCATGCATATCAAAGCCTCCACTGATCTAGGAGTTAATGAACTCCTAAATGCATCTATGACTCTGCCACCAGTGCTAAAACAACTCTCAGATGCCACTGTGGAAGGTTGAATTGAAAGGACATCCTTCGCAATTGCTGCTAAGACAGGATACTTGGGTCCATTGAGTTTCCACCACATCAATATGTCAAAAAAAACATCTTTGGAAACAAATGCCAAAGGATCTGTCAAGTAAGAATCAACTTCATGTGACACCACAGTCTCATCACTCTCTTCCACCTCCCTAATCCAATCATCTAGAAAATCATCACCAACACTTTCTCCAATATTATTACTACCACTTGCAGATCCTATATTTTCTGTGGTAGAATTTTGTCTCATGTGAATGCCACCATCTACCTTTGGTACATACTCATCATAGAGAGCCATTAACACACTTTTCACTTCTCTTGTCTTTATTTGCACATCATCCTCATCAAATTTTTCCTTTTTAAAGAGATGGGTGATATGCCTCAACTTGAACCTTGGATCCAAAACAAGTGCAATCAACACTAACATGTTCAAATCTTGATATTTAACAAAATACTTATTGTATTTTGTTCTCATAGCTCCAGCCATGTCAGTCAACACTTTCTCTGCATCTGAACCAGTAGCAAATTCAGGTGCCACAAACAACTTGTCAATCTCCTTTTCCATGGAAATAACTGCGTGAAATGTTTTATGAATTGTGGGGTGCAAAGATGCACTCACCTTTAAGGTCACCTCATAAAACACCTTCAAAAAACCTCACAAACACTGTTGCATTGTCCCAATCTACATCAGTTGGTGGTCCAACCCGACACTGCCTACTATTAGTCTGAACTACACCATCCTCATCAACTACCTCATCTGCCTCTTTGAAATAAGCCATGAATGGGCTGTTCAAATCCTCTGCCATTCTAGTAAAAGCCTTCTTAAATTTCAAGGCTGCATCCAACATCATGTATGTTGAATTCCATCTTGTGGGGACATCCATGCATACAAGACCTTTGCAGGTCAGTTTTTCCTTCTCAATAGAGGTTTTAAAATAATCCAATCTCTGTGGAGATGACCGAACATACCTCACAGCATTCCTAATTGCCATAACAGATTTTTGCAGCTTCCTCAACCCACTAGACACAATTAAATTAGTGATGTGAGCACAACATCTCATATGTAAGTATTTCCCACCCAAAACAGCCTGTGAATTGTTCCATTTGTTCATTTTATATCTCACCCAATCAATTGCCACTTTATTTGCAGAGGCATTGTCCACAGTAATGGTTAAAACCTTCTCTATACCCCATTGTAATAAACAACTCTCAATGAGGTCTCCTATGGTGTTGCCTTGGTGATTAGGAATAACACAAAAGTTTAAAACCCTTTTGTGCATTTTCCAATCACAATCTATGAAGTGTGCAGTAAGCACCATGTAATTGGTGTTTTGGACACTTGTCCAAGTGTCAGTCGTGAGGTTGATCCTATGTGCACTTAAATCATTCTTCAACTGCTGTTTTTGTGCATCATACATTTTAAGAAATTGCCTCACTGTTTTTCTCCTACTAGGCACTTCAAACATTGGACAAGCAACACTACAAAACCTCTTAAAACCTTTCTTTTCTACAAAAGAAAATGGCAGCTCATCAATCACAATCATTTCAACACATGCATCCATAACATCACTTTGCAAAAACCCCCTAGCAACCATTTTGTTACTCTGACTTCTATCACCAGTGATTATCTTTTGTGTTTTATCTTGGTTAGGTGGGTAGTATTTGCAATATTTTCTAATATGGCTTATCATTCCCGAAGTCCCATTTTTCCACTATCACATGCATAATCTCCAAGACCAAGTTTAGATTTAGGACAATATCTGCATTTAGCTCTTTTATTCACAACTTCTACATCTACCATCTTCCCTGTGGCCTCATCTTTTCTTTTGACAGTTTTTTTATCATCATAGGGTGTAAAATGATCCCAAACCCAACTTCTCTTATTACCTCTACCTTTGCCATCTGAGTTCAGTTCACTAACCATTTCTGTATCTTCACTCTCAAGGGCTTGCATTGGCTCAGGCACATGAGCTTCAGAAGGTTGGGCTTCCGGCTGCACAGCAAACTGTGGTGGTGCTGGTGATGTTGCCGTTGAAGAAACAGCAAGCCCACTGTGCTCCTGATGCTTACTTGATCGAGACTGCATGACAAGAATTAACAGATAAGAACAGAGGAGCAACAAGCAATATCCTCATCAGGCACCAACAACCAATATCCTCATCAGGCACCAAGTCAAATATCATGTCACAAAACCAAGTTTGCAGAGGTTTTCAGACCCCCGAAAGCAAAACAACAACAAAAGTTTTACAGGGTTAGTCTTGCATTCCATACCATACTTTGTCATCACATAGGCATTTTATTTTATACTTGGATTAACAACACAGCATAAACCCTAAAGATTAACAACACAGCATAAACCCTAAATAAATTAACAAAAAATTTACAAAAATCACAACAACACAGCACAATCCCTCAACTTCATTCGTATTTAATTAACCCTAAATAAATTAACAAAAATCACAACAAACTTACCATTTGTCCCTTCGTCGATTTGGGGGATGCTTCTTATTCCAGAGAGTTGAGAGAGGGCTGAGAGCTTGAGAGAGATCAAGAAGATAGAGAAATCGAGAGATTAAGAGAGTGAGACAGAGACAGATCAAGAAATCCAAAGACTGACATTGTGACAGATCGAGTTCGAGAGAGTGAGAGACAGAGAGAGCTTGAATCGAGTGAGATTGAGAGAGAGACAGGGAGCTGGGTCTGGGTATGGAGGAGAGCTTGCACGGGCTAACTTGAAAGTCTGAGAGTGAGAGCGTGCTGCGTTTCTATCTGAGAGGGTTTGGCTTTGAGTTTGCACGGGTTGACTTGAGAGTCTGAGAGTGAGAGCGTGCTCGTTTTTGTCTGAGAGGGTTTGGCTTTGGCGTTTCAGTTTGAGAGGCAAGCGAGAGACAGAGACAGTGAGAGAATGAAAAAAAAATTAAATTAAATTTAAGTACTATTCGGTACGGTACGGTATTGACCGGTATCAAAATCTTGATACCGCTACCATACCATACTCTATTTGGTACGGTACGGTATCGAATATCTATCGGTACCAAATGAAACGGTATAAAATCGGTACGGTACGGTGCGGTTAGGGTACGGTTTCGGTATTTCGGTTTAAGATGCCCACCCCTACTTTCTATACTTGGTCCCTTGTAATATTTGTTTTGTAGTATATTTAATATATATGGATCATTTTGTGTAGGGGTCATTGGGTGTTAATAATTGTGAGACCAGCTAAGGAGATTGTCTATTACATGGATTCATTGTCAAACCGCTTTGTTGACGAGGACATGAGAAATATAGTGAATACGTAAGTATATTAACGAAAAGTAAGATTTTTTATTTATGGATTTGAATGATACGACGGATTTTTCAAATACCGACGTTGTAGTGAAAACACAACGACGGTATATTATAACTGACGTTTGAAATCATTTACAACGTCAGTATTTTATTGAAACCGTCGTCTTCATTGAAATACCACGTTGTTTGTTTTTTTCATTTTAGGACGTTTTAATTTTTTATGTTCAACTTTAAAATTTAAAAACAACTTTGGTTATACGTCGTTTTTCTTCGTCACCGACGTTAGAATGATACACAACGACAGTTCCTATTTTCCAACGTTTGAACTAAAATACGACGTCATTTGTTTTAACAAACCGTCGTCTTCACTTATTTACCACGATGGTTAATATTTTTTAATGCTGATTTTTAGTTTTGTCATTAACACTTTTTGTTTTCTTGAAACAGTTCAATCCAAATGTATAACTCTCACACAGGCAAACAATCATCACGTAAATCACCCATATGGAAAAACCTACAAGGCACTCCTAGACAACAAACAAATGTAGAGTGTGGCTATTACGTTATGCGTTTCATGAGAGATATAATTCATGATCCAGGCCTAGCATTTGAGAAGAAGGTAAAATTTAAGATATAATTTCTTTGTTTTAATACCACGACGTTTTCTTTCAAAACCGTCGTTTTAATATTTATAACACGTCAGTTTTTGTTCTTTATTTGCAGTTTGACAAGAAAAAGGAACCAGTTGTGTATACTCAAGAACTTATTGACGAAGTCAGGCTGGAATGGGCAGAATTTGTGAACAAGCAATTACAGAACAATAAGTGATAATGCATAAAAATGTTTAGGTTCTTTTTAATTTTTGATAATGTATGTAAACATATTTTGGTAATTAATTGAACATTCATCAAAAAAATCAAATGAATATTTTTTTTTGTTTTTTTTTTTTTTTTTTTTTTGATAAGATATTTATGTCGTTAAATGAAATAAAATGAAAATATATCATAAAAATTTAAATTAAATCCCAAAAACCGACGTCTCATTCTTATTTACACGTCTCATATCTATGAACAACCGCCGTCTTGAAGTAGAGGGAAAGAAAACATTGACTGCAATTCTCAAAAACGTCATGTAAGGTTGATATACACGATGGTTAATATAGACATACAACGTCTGTTAGTACAACAGAGAGGACGTGTTAAAAGAGTACAACGTCGGTTACAAGGAAAAACGTGACGTTGTATATCTAAACAACGTCGTCATTAACATAATAATCGACGGTGTAAATTCTACTTAAGTCGGTTATTAAGAAAAGGTTGACGTAGTAACATACTAACCACGTTAGGGAGTACATTACGACGTCTAATGTGTTCTAGGACGGCGTTATGTGTTATGTACCGTCATTGTAAACGGATGCAATGTCGGTTATGTACATTTGTCATTTAATTTTTGTATGACTTTTATATTTTATTCCTAATGTAACAACCCGGTTCTTAATTAATATTTAATTATTAATTTATTCCAGTAAAAGACCAATATACCCTTAGAATATTTTATTAATTTAAAAGTTGACTTTTTGACCGGGAATGAATTTGGGGATTTCATTTATACCGTTGCGTAGAGCGCAGCGAGATGAGTCCGTAGACACATAGTGGGCTCAAATCGGAGTTGTAACGAAGGAGTTACGATCAAAAGAAGTTCAGTGGCATAACCGTAAATATTTCGAAGTTGAGTTCTTAAAAAACCCAGATTTCTCCTATGTCGGCAACTCGACCAGCCGACTTTAGGAGAGGATTTCTCTCAGCTCCGAGCACCAATTCGAGCAAGACCGGTGCCAAACGAACCACCTCACTCCCCTCTTTCAGTCTCAGCCCATCCCAGCCTCGATCCGCTGTCTTGGTCGCCGGAAACCACCACGAAACAGGGCGGTTTGGACAGTTTTTGATGAAATTTCACGGAGCTCGTTCGGACACCTCCGGCCACCAAATCGAACGAGGCAGGTATGGTTTTCTAGCTATTTTCCATGCTCTAGCTGATGGTTGGGTAGGATTTTAGAGATTTCAAGCGTAGACCATTCGATTTTTAAGTTAGGTTTCAGCAGACTTTCGGGTCACTGTTCCGGCCAATTCCGGCCAGTTTTTGGGTAGGTCCAAGAACAAAAGAGGCTCCAAATAGGGTGTTACACCTAGGGTAGGAACCTTGAGCCGTGATTCAGAGTTTTTCTGACGAAGCGTTATCGCTTTAGGCACCACGCGCTGCCGGCGCGTTTGGTGGCGTGTGGGCAGTAGGGTGGGGACCACAGTTAGTGTGTGATTTCCGGGTTCAGCAGGTTTGAACCGTTGGATCATAGTCATGTTCAGGTATGTTAATCTAAGTAATTCCATGATCGTATAGTACTTGACGGATCGTAAAACGGAGTCCCGGATACTCCAGGAATGCCAACCCTAGAACTAGGTTTACAATAAACAGTTCAGTTACTGATCAGGAACAGAGAAAAGAACTACGTGTGGCTTGATCCCTCAGTAAGGGTATGTAGGCAGCCTACAGTTATCAGGTGCAGCCACGAGTTAGGGACTCAGGGTTTATGTTACTGTTTTCAGGGCATTTTGGTCATTTACGACCCACGGTTACCAGGTGTCAGTTTTAAACAGGTTTCGACCCGAATTTCAAAGTGGAAATTGGGTAAGGTCGTTTCACCTAATATTCATAATAATTTCAAAACAAATTCCATAGAATAAACTGACAACTACCATGCACTCATTGAAAGATTTTATCTCCCCTAAATGTTTAAAAATTTTAATTTGTATTTATTTACTAATATTCATAATATATTCAAAAAAAAATCCAAAAAATAAACCGACAAATTCTATGCACTCATTGAGGCAATATCTCCCCCTTACATGCCTAAAAATTTGAATTTTAGATTTCAAAATTAGAAGTGATAACAAAAGTCAAAAGGATTTAGAGACAAAGCACAATAGTCATATACTTTCCATAATATGACCCTAAGGTTTATGTGATCCATTGGTAGTCATAAAATTCAAAATTATTTAATATGGATATTAGCCTACTAATATAGAAGGCATTGTTGTAAGGAGTCCGTAGCAATTTTCGGTTCATTTTTCTCATACTTGTGTATTTTTTTTTATAATTATTGTAAAATTTAGGGTTTAGGGTTTAGGTTTTATTGAAACGACGCCGGTTTCTCTCCCTCTTTTTGGTCAATTACGCGCGTTCGAATCCCAGGAAACGCAAAGCAAATCTAATTATTTAATACTTTAGACGTCGGTTTTTGTATGGACGACGTCAAAACGCTTTACAACGGCTTCAGTGCAACATAGTCGCTGTTGCAAGTCTGAAATACAACAACAACTAGGTTGTATTTACCGTCGTCTTCAATAAACGCGGTCCTTTGAAATTTTTGACTGGGATCTAAAATTTTCAGAATTTTCCTTTAACCCTAAAGTATTTCCTTCTCTATCTTCAACGTAAATTTGTCTTAAAGTTTTTGCTCTCTCTCAAAGCATTGGGTATATTCTCTGAGCTCTCTTAAGCATTTGATATTTTCTCTCAGCTCTCTCAAGCATTTGATATTTTCTCTCAGCTCTCTCAATATCCATGTACGTATATTCTCTCATCTCTCTCTCAATATTCTCTTATTAGTTTGTATATATATTCTCTCAGCTCTCTCTCAATATTCTCTTAGTTTGTATATTCTCTCAGATCTCTCTAAATATTCGGTTAGTTTGTATATTCTCTCAGCTTTGGTTTCTTAATACGGGTTCTTTTATGTGTTGGGAGCTATGGGTTCTTGATGGGAGCTATATATGGGTTCTTTTATGTTTTGAGACAGTTGGTGGGACCAACCGTCGTCTAAATTTTTATTATACATCTGCTTTTTATTTACTAACGACGTCAACCCTAACCCTAACCCTAACAAATATTTTGTTAGTTGCTTAAAGACGATGGTAAATAGACATGCCGTCATCTTAATCTATGTTACGCGGCTATTATTTGTAAAAACCATCATCTGATTCTTGTGGAATTTTTATTTTATTTTTTTCCACTTTGTTCTCTTCTCTGTCAATATAGTATTGTTTCATTGCTAGTCTTTTCACTTTATCATATGTATGATTTTATAGTGTGTGAGATGGATAAGTCATGGATGCATGTGGATAGAAAATTGAAGGCATATGAGTTGGGTGTGGAAGGATTTTTGAATTTTGCTGTAGAAAATCTTGGAAATACAACTCATATTCGTTGTCCATGTGTTAAATGTGGGAATATTCGATTGTTTGGAGTTGGAATTATAAGGGACCACTTATACTTTAATGGAATTCACCAAAGCTATAAGATTTGGACATGGCACGGAGAACCTTGGGAATGGACTACTAATGCTAGTAGAAATGTGGAAGAAGATGAGCAAAGTAGGTTCAGTTTTGTTTCTGAAGAAGTAGGGATGGATGATAATGATTTAGGCGACATTGGATTTGATCCTTACGAGTTTGCCAATGTGATTGGGGATGGAGATCAACCCTTGTACCCTGGTAGCAGTAAGTATACGATGTTGTCGGCTTTGGTGAAGTTATATAATTTGAAAGCAAAACATGGGATGAGTGATGTTTCTTTTATAGAATTATTAATACTTCAAGGAGATTTGCTTCCGGAAGGAAATACACTACCTTCCTCTATGTATGAGGTAAAAAAGACATTGTCTGCTTTAAGGATGAGTTATGAGAAAATCCACGCATGCCCCAATGACTTCATCTTGTATAGGAAGGATTATGAAGATTCAACTAATTGTCCTACTTGTGATGTCTCAAGGTGGAAGGAAGGCAAAGATTCAATCTTGAAAGAGGGTGTGCCAGCGAAGGTGGTGTAGTATTTTCCTCCAATTCCAAAGTTTAAAAGGATGTTTCAATCACATAAGACAGCTAAGAGTTTGACTTGGCATGCTGCTAGACAATCAGTTGACGATCAGATGTCTCATCCAGCAGATTCCCCGTCTTGGAAACTTGTTGATGATAAATGGCCCGAGTTTGGTAAAGAGCCGAGAAACTTGAGATTGGCTCTCTCATCTGATGGATTCAATCCCCACAGTTCTTTAAGTAGCAGATACAGTTGTTGGCCAGTTATCTTAGTTACATATAATCTCCCACCATGGCTATGCATGAAACGAAAGTTCATGATATTGACCTTATTGATTTTCGGTCCCAAACAGCCTGGAAATGATATAGACGTCTACTTAGAGCCTTTGATTGATGATTTAAAATCTCTGTGGGATGGGATTAGAGGAGTGTATGATGCACATATAAGATAATACTTTACACTCAGAGGTGTATTACTATGGACAGTTAATGATTTTCCTGCCTATTACAACTTATCTGGTTGTGTTGTGAAAGGATATAGAGCTTGTCCCATATGCGGTGATGATACACCTAGTCACAGGTTGAAAAATGGCCACAAAATTTGTTACATTGGGCATAGAAAATGGTTATCAATCAATCATCCATATCAGAGGCAGCGCGCAGCTTTTAATGGGAAACCTTTATATGGCATGCCTCCTGAGCCATTAAACGAAGAAGAAGTGTTGCACATGGTTGAAGATATTAATTATATACGGGGCTCGAAAAATGGGGGAAGTGTTGGTGAGAATGATGGTGACAGAGTTTGTTGGAAGAAGAAATCAAAATTCTTTGATCTCGAGTATTGGAAATATCTTCATGTGAGGCATGTCCTAGATGTTATGCATATTGAGAAGAATGTTTGCGATAGTATCATTGGTACATTGCTAAAGATCCCTGGAAAAAATAAAGATGGGATTGCTGCTCGGTTAGATTTATTGAACATGGTGGTCAAAACTGATTTGCAACCCGAGTATGGACAAAGACGTACTCGCTTGCTTCCAGGGCCTTGGAATTTTTCAAGAGCAGAGAAGAGTGCGATTTGCAATTCTTTCTATGGTATGAAGGTCCCTGAAAGTTATTGTTCAAATATAAAAATCTTGTATCTTTAAAAGATTCAAGACTTCTTGGACTTAAATCTCATGATTGTCATACCTTGATGCAACAATTGCTCCCTGTGACAATTCGTTCTGTTTTGAAGAAGCTTGCAAGGTATGCAATAACTCGATTGTGCTTCTTCTTCAATTCTATATGTGCAAAGACGGTAGATGTTTCCAAGCTAGATAAGTTGGAAGAAGATGTAGTAGTTACTTTGTGTTTGCTTGAGAAGTACTTTCCCCCTTCATTCTTTGATATCATGGTTCATCTAGTAGTACATCTTGTCAGAGAAGTTCGTCTATGTGGCCCAGTATATTTTATATGGATGTATCCGTTTGAAAGGTATATGAAAGTGCTAAAAGGGTATGTTCAGAACCGTAATCGTCCGGAAGGTTGCATTGCTGAGCAGTATATAGCTGAAGAAGCTGTAGAGTTTTGCACTGAGCATTTATCTGATGTTAGTACAGTTGGAGTGCCTTCAAGCCAGAAGATGGGAGTTTCGAAGCCATTATCAAGTTGCATAGTAAGCTTAGTTGATCGGGAGAATACGGAGAATACGGAGGAAGTCCTACCATATATCGAGTACGTGTGACTTTTATTTTTCATATGGAGCGCCATTTTAAATATTATTATTCCTTATGTCTATCTTATACACAAGGGACTATAATGCTTGATTTTTTCATGTCAATGTAGGAAACATATGATCCACATCAAGACCACTTATCCAAATTTAGAAAGAGAACAAAGTGGCTACAAGATAAGCACAATAGCACCTTCATTCAATGGCTCCACTTTAAGGTATATATATGTTATTGAATGACATGCATATTCAACTTTTAATTTTCTTCCATTCTATATGTTAGATTGAATTCAGATATATATGATTAATTTGCAGGTTCAAAGTGAACTTAATGGGGAAGAGCATAATAGCGTATCATAAAATTTGATGTGGCTAGCAGCTAGTCCAAGCATGGCAGTACCATCATATAGGAGCTATCTTATTAATGGTATTAAATTTAACACCAAGGCACAAGATGATGTGCGAACTGTCCAAAATAGTGGAGTTTATTTACTTGCACATACTATGCAAGTTACTAGTGCCAAGGATAAAAACCCTATTGTCTCCAATATGGGTTTTTATGGTGTTATTCAAGAAATTTGGGACCTTGACTACCAAAAGTTTAGAATCCCAGTCTTGAGGTGTGATTGGATAGATAACACTTCGGGCCTTGTAGTCAACAAACTTGGATTTACCCTTGTAGATCTGAGTAAAATTGGACATAGGAATGACCAATTTGTTATGACTTCTCAACTCAAACAAGTATTTTATGTTGATCACCCAATGCATCGTGGTTGGTCGGTAGTGTTATCAATGCCTAATAGAGAATATAATGATGTTATTGGTGATGATTTGCTAGGTGATACTAGAATTGAGTGTGAGCCATTTACTACAGGGATACCAAATGTTGACACATTTGATGACCTAGTGGGTGAGTTAGGGAATGAAAATATTAGAGATGGGTGTAAAGATATATGGATTGATTTATTGTTGTAATGTATGACATTACTTATCAGTTAGTTATATGACACTAATTAATAATTCTATACATCATTTTAATTCTGATCACATATTCATTATATGCAGGCTTTGGGCACGACAAATCAAAAATTAAAAAAGCTGGGTTAAAGCTGTAAAGTACGACGGTCCGGTAAAAAAACTGGAAACACAGACGTTTAAAATAAAAACCACGTCGGGTTTTAAAAAGGCAAAAGACCGTAAAGCAAAAAAACATCTGAAAAAGAAATCAAGTCTGTTTGGTTAAAATAAACAGTCGTCTAAAGGTCAGAATAAAGGCCGTTTAGTTCCATTAACTATTGTGACAGATGTTCTGCACGTCGAATAGTCTAAAATAATTGACGTCTCCGAGCATACATACGTCAAGGCAGGTTAAACAAGCGACTTTTAAAAGGACAACCACGTCATTATGTAATCAAAACCGACGTGGTAAGCAATTACAATGTCAACCAGATACATCTCTAGACGTAGTGATATAATTAACCACGTCCATTATTTTAACTCCACGAAGATTGAATACATAATCCATGTCGGTTATTTTTCTATCCACGCCTTCAATACTATTTATAATGTCATCCTTCGACAACAACCGACGTGGAGTATAGTTTTGTACGTCAATATTGAGTAATATTATGTCATTTTAAATCTATTAGAAGCGATTATTTAGAAAAAGTGACGTCTAACTGTGTCAAAGGGCCTTCTTTGTTAAATTTAAATGACAAGTCTCGCAAGTAACAGATGTGGAATATACTTACCATGTTGGTTTTTATTAAAGTTCTCGATGTGGATAATTACGTAAGCGTCGATGAAGCCAGGTGCAGGACGTGGTTATATCATGTTACGACGGTTATTGGGAGCCAAATGACATGCAATACTCTTTAAACGTCTGTTGGTTTGTGTAAACGTCGTAGTTTATGTTTTAGACGTCGTTTTTTTGTTTGTTTAACGTAGTACAAATGAACCACGACGGTTTCTAGCTTATCCAAGTCATTTTTCCTTCTTTTAGGGACGTGGATAATTATCTGTACGTCAGTTCTTCTATTGATCTTGACATGTAAAACTCTTTAGACGTCTCAGTTTTCATAAAACCGTCATTTAATGTTGTCGAAGATTTCATTTTACGCTAATTATATAGTAATTACACGTCAGTTCGTAATAAATCTGGACGTTGAATTACTTAACGACGTCGGTTATTAACCGTCGTTGTTGGTTGTACAAAAAGATGGCAGTCGATTTCACGACGATTGGAAAACCTTCTAGACGACAGTGGTTTCCCGTCGTCTATTTCGATTTTTGTAGTAGTGCATGTTGTCCAGGTTCTCATCCAATCGGTGAGTATCATGATAGTAACTTCTTTTCTTCTTTTTTTGGGAGAGTAAGAAACTCTCACACCATCTAACAAAATACAACTTGCAAACAAACAGGATGCAAAATTAATGACATCGTTAGAACTTTGCTATAATAATTTTAAAGACCTAAATATATGTCTTATCATGATAATAACCCTACTTCTGAAGATGTGTATCATCATGATTAAAAACTTCGAATATGGCACACCTCAAGATATACCTCAAATCATTAAAAATCAAACGGCTCAAAGTAGCAAGGAGCATCCCAAGGAGGCCCAAAGGCTTATAGCATCCACAATGAACTTCCTAAATCACCTCCTTAGATAAATTTAGGGAGGAAGTAAGAAAAACCCACCTCCAACCATGCTTCCTATCGAGCTCCTAAAATAGGAAGACCTCTAGGAGCTCCTAAATCTAAAGAGACAGAATGAACTTCTAGTGGCTCTCTATAATTTAATGCTACCCTATTTAATGAATATTTAAAAACCTTTAATCAATATTGTCTATTTTTATATTATTTTTTCATAGAGATGGACCATTTATGTTGAATTAAAATATAATTCTAGCATTTATGACTCCCTAAACTTGAGAGTATGATTGAAGTTGAAATTTTATAGAGAGCTCCTAAAATAACTTTTCTGTGTTTTTAGCTAAATTTTAACTAAAAAATAGAGAGCGTGATTGTAGATAGAAGCAAGCATTTTCACAGCATAGGTGCTTTCCATGTTGAATCCACACACACCACCATCCATGATAGATTTGCAACTAGAGATAAGATCGAACAACGTTTGAGAAACGAACAGATAATTGTGTTGGTGGCCATATTTATGACAACAAACATGAATGCTTTCACAGTGGAAGAGAGCTCGCTTACTTTGAAATTTGACAAGTTTTCAATGGTCTCATATTATTCAGATTCAAATTGTGACTAGGAAGTTGACGTAATGGGGGAATAGCGTTGAAATAATATAACACATGCAAAACCATTTTTTGACTAATTTTGTTGCGGTCACAAATGACGGTTTTGTGGTACTTCCAAAATACACATTTTCAGGGTTAGGTAAACCACAATTTATTTTGGGTACACGAAAGTCGCCATTAGTCTTTATTTTTCTTCTTCTTTTTCTTCTGTTCTCGTACGAACTAAAAGTGTAGGGTCCTAATACAAGAGATATCGATTGAATGTAGAGAGATACCACTTAATAGACTCTTTAATAGGTAATCACTCCCTCCAATATGCGTCAATTATATTTCATCCATAATTCCTTATATTAATAAATAAATAAATAATCACATGTAAAAAGATAATAGAAATAGCAATGCTATTTGTTGAAGAATGTAATGTCACACGTTGGAAACTTGACATAAATAAATACAATACAATATAAAGTGGTTCCACTACTGGGGCCTTTTGTGATAAAACCGCACACCTACTAGGTTTTGTAAGTGGTTAAGTTGGGGACAATATTGGTGTTACTAGCAGTAGTGGGCCGTTGGTCCATCTCTCTGAAAACTTAACATGGTATAACGGACTGATTGACTGGACCTTTAACCTTTAACCCTCACCCAATATGTGGTGTTCACATGATGTGCTTGAATATTTACCTTTACCCCTTATTCAATACGTGGTGTTAACGAGTTGGGCTTGCATGATTGACTCCACCGTAGATTTGGCTACATGTGTGGCCCATTATGTGGTGGTCGTACATAAAAAATAAAGATAATATATATTAATGGGTTCCACTACTACTATCACTCAGATCTTGGAATCTGTAAGTTGTTAAGTTTATGACAATATCGGTGTTGCTAGTAATGGGGTTGTTGGTCTATCTATTTGAAAACTAAACACTATTCAGACTCGCTTTTGAGACTCTCTCTTGAAGAACCAAGGATATGAAAGTAAAACCCCTAAGCTTACTTCACCACTAGTTTCACATTGGGTTCTTGTAATTTTCTATAATTTGCATTTAGAACTATATTAGAAGCCAAATATCTTCTACTATCATGAAGAAGATATCAATGGGACATATATCTTCTACTATCATTAGGACAAAAAGCTTCTGCTTCTTCTTTTTAAATTTATCATTTTTGGGGTCATTTAGAAGAAGATGTAAACAGATGTGGTCGTACTGCAATAGTATTCTATAATTTCTCCTAATGCAACATCCCGACCCAAAAATATTAATAATTTCAAATTAAATTAAATTTAAGTGTGAATTTCCAATTTTGCCCTCGAGAGTAGGGGTAATTTGGAAGGATTTTTGGGCAGTGCTTGGTACCATTACGTATATCGTACCGAGATGAGTCTGTAGACACATAGTTGGCTCAAATCGAAGTTGTAACGAAGAAGTTACAAGCAAAACATCACCAATGGCAAAATCATAATTATTTTGAAAAAGGTTTGATAAAAATCTAATTTCTCTCTCTCTCTCTCTCTCTCTCTCTCTCTTCGATTCTCTCAGTTCCGGCCAAGGCAAGGGCGGGAACTGGTACGATTCGACTCGTCTTAAAGCCACAAACCTGACTCACCCATTTTCCCAGTCGAAAACCTCGAAATTGGCCAGTGATATCGACTGGTTTCTCCGGTTGTTCACGGCGTCGCTACGGTCGATTCCAGCCGCCATCTCCGACAACCAAGGTACAATTTCTCACCTATTCTTCATGCTCTAGCTACTTGTTGTGTAGAAATTGGACGATAGTCGTGTTTAGAGTGGTTGAGCTACATACTATCTTAAAATGATCTAATAGTTGTCACGAGCGTGTAGGTGTGCTCGGATTCCAATTTGGACACCATTTGAGCGTCAAACGGATTTCACCTAGTGTGCAATTTCCGGGTTTGATAGGTTCGGACCGTTGGATCGAAGCCGAATTCATGTATATTGATCTAAGCAATTCCAGGATCGTATAGGATTCGACGGATCGTAAAACGAAGTCCCGGATACTTCGAAAATGCCAACCCTAGGGCTAGGTTTACAATAACCGTCTGATCGTGCGATCGTGAGTAATCCGACCGTCTGATCCA